AAGTGTGCCCCCCCCCAACATCCCTGGGGTACCCCTGACATCCCTGGGGTGCCCAGAGTGCCCTTTCCGCCACCTCGGGGAGCCCTGCAGTCACCCCCCAAAAGGCTGGGGGTGGCCCAGCCTGGCAGCCACAGTCACCCCCCAACAGGCCCAGTGCCACAGTGGCCCCCCGAACCCCGTGGGTGCGTGTGGGGTCAGAGCACGGCTGCAAGCCGCACTGCTGGCCGAGTCGTGGGGAGCCCGGGCTGCTCAGGACCCTCTGCCTTTGCTGGGGGACCAGTGCCTGGGTGGTGCACAATGTCCCCCTGCTCCCCAGCACAGGGCTGTGGGGCCATGGCGTTTCCTGGTGACACTGTAGATCACCCTATGGCATGTACGGCACTGCGGGAGCCTGCGCCACAGCCTGCCCTGGGCCAGGCAAAACCCCGTGCTGGCGCAGAAGACCCCTTGTTCTTTAAAATCCTGGCGTTGGGGGCACACTATCACCTGAAAGAACCCTACTGGTAATTAAACTGCCCCATAAATCACACGGCAAATTTCACATGAAGTCCAAGAGAGCCCGGCTTCTGTAATGTGTGGGATGGCTCTTACGACCATGACTGCTGCACGCTGCAATGCTTTCAGTGTTTCTTCAAGCTACCTTTTTTTGCCTTACAAAGCTCTCCCCCATAGACAGCTCTGCCTCTGAGCCCTGAGTTCATACAAGTGCCTTATAAATAATAAATATTGTCTTTGTAGCACCATCCTTGCTCTGGGCTATATCCTACAAGCTCTCCATGCATGAAGCTCTCTTTGAAGAGGAGGAACAGGAGGACCTTGCCGGGTTAGGTTTTACGTCACAGTGTGGTTCTTCAGCCTTCAGTGGGAGTTCGGCCCGAGTACGGCCCGGAGGTCTATATCCCAGTCCTGTGGGAAGCCTTGGGCTTCAGTGGAGAGAGAAAAGGATGGGAATGTAGGAAAGAATGCTGTTTTGATATAGGAGGTAGGTTTTTTACATGACTCTTCACATGGTTTCTGTTGTCGTCCACCCAGGGCATGGTGTCCCCAGCTTCAACATGTCCACCCAGGTGTCCCTGGGCATACCATCCACAACTTTTCGCCTGTAGATATTTTGGAAATCATATCTGTAATACTTAACATAGTCTCGTGTAGTGTCTGACCATGCGTCAAACCCCAGGGTAGGACTGTACGTCCCTCGTGTCATATACCTTTCCACATTTCTAGCATTCCTCAGGCAGAGGAACTCCCAGCTGCTGGGTTTCCTACGAAGCTCCCAAGTGCCTCCAGGAAAGTTAATGAGTGAGTTGCCAACGGGCTGCTGGACACGGGGGGGCTTTCCGCCTTCTGCGGCTGGCTCTGCGGTGTCCTGGAGCACTCTGAATGTGTCACCCGGTGGTCGGGCACAGGCTGTGAGTGGATCAGAGGCTTTTTATCACGAGCGGGTGGGCAGCGTGGGAAGACCACCATGGTCCTGGGGGCGCAGGCAAAGCCCTTGGCAGCAGGGACAGATGAACCCTGTCAGGAGGCACTGCCCAGGCAGGGCTTTGATGCTCGAGAGGGATGTGTTGGCAATGGCAGGACAGCAAGAGCAGCAGCGGTGCTCCAGTGTCACTGCCGTTGGGGACAGCTCAGCCAGAACAGCGTGGAGCTGGAGGAAGGAGGTCAATGGCACCCCATGGGTTTTGCACCCGTTTTGGACTCATTTTGCCTCCTGAGCCTGCCCAATCTCTGTGCAAATGAGATGTGAGAGGACATTGGAAAGGTTCTTTGGCAAGAAATGTTTAAAAACCCTGCTGTGTGCCGCAGCCGCTCTCCTTTTGACCCCGTCGTGAGCCCCAGCCCCGGCAGCCCCGTCCCCGGAGCCTGCGCACGCCAACAAGTTGCAGTGGAAACAAAGGCAGTTCTTGCTTCAGATTCTTCAGAGATAGCAATATGTCAGGAGCCCCTGGAGAGGCTGAAAGTAAATGAATCAGTGCTAGAAAGTGAAGGATATCATCCGCGCTGAATGGTGAAAAGGAGTCCTGAACAGTATCTTCATTGATTTTCCTGTAATTGACACAGAAGCTCGGCTCGCCGGAGGCTGCGGGCGAGAGGAGTGGGGAGGCCCAGGTAGAGAGCTCCCTGCCCCGCATCCTGGGAGCAGTTCTCCTCAATTAGGCGGCTTATTTTTTGTGTGAGGCTTTGAAGGAGGCGGTGGGTTGGTTGGCCAGCATTTTCCCTATTCACAGGGTGCTTTGCAAGCTGCACAGGAGACAAGGGGCAGGGAGGACGTGTCCTCCGCCTTCACGTCACCGGCTGCTGCCCATCGCCCCCGCAATAGCGGTGAGAGCCGCGGCACGCAGGTCACACCGAGTCCTTGGCTGGTGATAAATACCTGTCCTTAAGCGAGAGTGTTTGCTGGAAAATACAGCAGTGGCACGCGGTAGGAAATTTGTAGGAATTACTGTTTAGATTAGATTTGAGGCTCTCCTGGGAGGACTGTACGGGACCTGCGGCTGAATGCCTCAGCGTGGGTGACGGACCTCGCTCCACGGGGGCTTGATGGACACCCTGCCCCGCTGGCCGGCACCCGGGCAGCGGATTGTGAATGGAGATGTCACCACCGGCCCAGGGCAACTCGCACCAAGGGGTGAGCGCTCTTTCCAGCAGCTCTGACACACGCTGCGTGTTTGGCCCCGACGAGGAGGTGCTGGATTTCCCTGCCTGGCAAGCGCTGGGGGCTGTATTCCTCCACACCTCTTTCAAGTCTTTAAAAAGTCAAATTTGCTGCGGCCAAACACAACCTGGCCACCGCTTCCTTCCCCGTGCCTGAAGGAGGAGAGCAGCCCGCGGGGCTGGCAGGGCGCAGACCTCCTGCGGCCATCCCGGCACCGCGCCGGGGCTGCCTGCTTGCTGCAGCCAGACGTGGAGCCCGCGGTGGGTGCGGAGAGCAGTGCTTGGGAGACAGAGAGGGTCTGGTGGGATGGAGAGAGGCGTTTGCGTGGTGTTGGGGCAGCTGGCAGGGAGCGGTGGGTGCCGGGCAGGGAGGGGGGACCAGCCCGGAGGCCCTCACCGGCCATCAGCCCGTTGCCGATAAGAAAGGAACATCCAGCAGATGCACCTGACGGGATTTTTACTGCTGCTAGAAAAGACCGGAAAAGAGAAGAAACGTGTTTGAATCAGAGACAAAGATTCAAGCAGCTGGAGTAGAGGAGAGGCGGCGTTTGAGCGGAGGAGGAACACAGCACACCGCATAAAGAAACCAGGAGCATCGATTCGCTTTCAAGCCCGGCAGAGGAAACACCCGTTGGGTCGGGTGTGCGCTTAGGAAAAGGCTCCCACTTTTTCACTTATTCATGGCAATGGGACACAATCTTTTTAACATTACAG